TATGTGATTGTGTTTTTGAGAAAACAACGTTTATGCGTGCTTAGTGAAAAACTAAAATTTTAAAGTCACTGAAATAAGGCCATAAAACACATACAGAACATTTGTTCACAGGACTATTGAGAACAGATCTTGAAGTCTAGAATTTTTTCATCAGAATGATGTGAAAATCATCTTGTTTACTCACTCACAGAAAACAATATATTGATTTAAATTTTCTAAGACACTTTTTGTGTAGAAAAGGAATATGCGAGGGGGCGTGAATGGTCATGTATAATGAGTGATTCACACCTGAGAAGACAAAGGCCTGCATAATGAGCTGCATCATGAGCTGTCAGGTGTGTGACTGAGAGGGAATTGCTACAAGAAATAATGAGGGAAAAAGAAATGTATCTATTTTTTTGTTTGTAGTTTATTTAGAATATATATAACTATCACATCATTTTGGGAGTGTGTGCATCACATGGTCTTAGCTGTGGTCCAGGCTCTTGTGCGGGGCAGAAATCTCAGAGCCTGTGGAACATGTCAGCGTCAGTCTCTGGTTTCCATGACCAAGTGGGCTGCTTATTTGCTTTGGCTCTCTTTGCAACAGGTTCTTTTGCACTGTTATTCTCACATCTGAAATAAAAAAGCCAGCATGCTGTTTACACAAACTACATTATTAACATTATTATGATGTTCACTGATACTAGTACTAATTTATCTAAACAAAGAACACAATTACCACATAGCAAACATATTTTACCACGAAGTAACTAAATCAAATGAAAGTAACATCTGTAAAATAGTGAATGCACAGTTACTCTAAAATTCTGAACGGAGTTGAAAACTGTACGAGTGCCCCCTTCCTTTGAGAAACGCAGGTGAATGCAAGAGTGGTGTATTCCCCACAGTACCTTAGTATAGAATGCATACTTCATGAGAAAACAATGCCAATTCTTACATTTTAACACTATCAACCACAAATAATATTACCACATATTCTAGGAATAATACAATTACTATACTGTGCACTTCATTTCAGCGTCATTACTCCAGAAGACACGGGTATAACACATTCAAAATATTTACACCAGAGCAGATATTCATGAACAGAAGCTTAGTTACATTCATAAACACAAGCATGCTTTGTATGTAGGCCTATACAATCCAAAAACTATAGTTATAAACATATATAGCTATATTCGTGAACAGAGAATATCCTATCACAGTAAAGTTTTGACTAATCATTCTTACTGACATTAGACTAGTAACATTATAACTCATATTACTTTTATATCGTATTTCTGTCTGCTATAGAACATTAAAAAAAACATCCTGGCATCGTGACATTTAGATGCTGTGAATGAAACTTCATAATGTTTCACTTGATTATACATTTAGTCAGGAATTATAGTTTGGAGAAAGTCTAACTAGTAAAATGTGTACAAGTTATGTGAAAACTAATACAAGTAGGTTAATAAAAAAGACTTACTCATGTTTTTTCCTGAGGTAATCCAAAGCTTCTTGAGGTGAATTCTGTCTTATTCCTCTCAGCGCGACGCGAACAGTCAAATTAAAAAAACTTGAGGTCTTGCTGCTCTGTTTGCTGTGATGTGGGCGTTTACACGCCGCGAACGCCCGAACTCTAGGCATGAATTGTTGACCGAAAATGCATGCAGGTCCCCTACCCTCTTGATGGAGGCCAATGCCAGCAGGAGCAAAGTCTTCTATCGAAAGAAATTTCAGCTCGACCATCTGCAAAGGCTCAAATGGGCCCTGCTGTAGTGCTAGAGTCAGGTCCCAAGAGGGTATAGAGGGGGGCCGTGGGGGATTTAGCCTTCTCGCCCCCTTAAGGAACCTGACGACCAGGTCATGCTTCCCCAGCGACCTCCCTTCTACGGGGTCGTGGTTAGCCGCGTTTGCAGTGACATCAACTTTGAGGGTGGAGGGAGACAGCCTTCGCTCCAACCCTTGCTGCAAAAAGGACAGCACGACTCTGATGGGGCATATTCGGGGGTCTTCTCGGTGAGAAGAACACCACTCAACGAACAGGTTCTACTTCAAAGCGTATCTCGTAGACGGTGCTCTCGCTGAAGTGATGGTGTCAACTACCTCTTGAGGTAGGTCACTTAGAACCTCCGCGTCCCGTACAGGGACCAGACATGAAGTTTCCAGAGGTCTGGACGCGGGTGCCCCGTCTCTGAGTCAGTAGATCCCTCCTCAGAGGAATCGGCCAAGGAGGGGCTGTCACGAGGATCATTAGTTCTGGGAACCAGGTCCGGGTAGGCCAATAGGGTGCCACCAACCGGACCTGCTCCTCGTCCTCCCTGACCTTGCACAGCAACTGTGCAAGAAGGCTCACTGGGGGAAACGCATACTTGCGAAGGCCCCGCGGCCAGCTGTTTGCCAGTGCGTCCGTGCTGAGTGTTTCCTCGGCCAGGGAAAGAACAACTGGCAGTGAGAGGTTTCTGGAGTGGCAAACAGGTCTACCTGAGCGGCTCCGAAACGTCTCCAAACCAGCTGGACCGTGCCAGTGCAGTTGGGGCCCCGTCCAAACCCCTGACACTGCAAGCCCGTTGCCTGGAGACCTGCTCTTGGGGCACTCCTGCCCGGAGTAATGCAAGGTCTGACAACGGGGTGAAGGTTTGGCGGAAGGCCGGTGTAACTTGGACCCGTAAAGTGCCGCGTTGCCACGGAAAAAGATGAAAGTGGCAGAAAAAGATGAAAAGATTCTCCGCCCGGCCCTCCTCCGGGGGAGGGAGTGGTGTGCTTACCATCTCCTGAAGAGCAGGTCCCTCCACCTCTGGGTTGCCCATCTCAGGGCCTCTTGCTCTTTCGCTTGCCACCAGGTTTGGCGAGGGCCTGGACGGGCGGAGCGGCTGCCCTGCGACCGGCTCCACGGCGCAGCTTTGCTGGAGGCCACAGGAGCGGCTTGCTGGTGGCAGGGGGGCCGCCCTCAGTGACGGCAGCAGCTGCACGCCGGGGCAGGATGTACCTGATGGCCTCAGTCTGCTTTGGTCAGCGGAGAACTGCTGGGCAAGTTCTCCACCGTGTCGCCGAAAAGGGCGGACTGGGACATGGGGGCATTCAAGAATCGTGTCTTGTCCGTCTCGCGCATGTCAGCCAGTCACAGCCAGAAATGGCACTCCTGCACCACCATAGTGGACATCGCACGACCCAGAGACCGCGCCGTAACCTTCGTCGCTCGTAGCGCGAGGTCCGCCGCGGTGCAGAGCTCTCTGCGAACTTCCGGGTCGTGACCACCCTCGTGCAAGTCCCTCAGTGCCTTGGCCTGGTGCACCATGACCTGTTGAGCTCCTCATGCACCTCCGGGAAGAAAGGCACAGAGGCCGGGCACTGAGAACCAGTGCAGACCACCCCGAGAACCAATCGTGCAACCTTGAGGGAAGTCTCCACTCGAGCCCTACCCCTACGGCGGCCCGGGAAAGCATAGCCATTATTTCTGGATCCGATTCAGGCATTGCTACAGTCCCGGAGGAGAGCAGCGCAGCCGAATCTTCCTCTCCAGAAAGCTCTGGCTCACCCTCCGATGCTGCAATCGACATCTGGTCGTTGGTAGGAGCTCCAAAGGATACGGCTGATACTCTCCTTGTAGAGGGCCCAGCACGTTCCATTGGCAGCTCAACTGGCTGCGGAGTGCCTCAGACCGCCCGTGCTACTGCCTGAAGTAGCCCCCCCTGGCTGCCGCCATGAGGAGAACTAGATCAAAGCAGAGGCAACGGCTTTTAGCGTGCTGAGGCGCACAGGGGAGATGATAATCTGCAACACAAACAGGGGTAGTGCAGCCTGATGTGTGCAACCCACTCGACACGGGAAACCACCACCGCTGAAGCGCCGTACCGCCAACACGAAGAGCTCTCCAAGAGCTGAACTCGTTCAGTCTTCTTCTCTCAGTAGAGTAGTCAGGAGCAGAACGATGTGACCACTCGGCTCCGAAGCGAAAAGCTGAATATGTGCTGCATCTGCTGCCTAATTATACTCACGCTGTGATCATCGGCAGCTGGATGCAATAATCGCATGCCAATGTGCATTGGCTCGTTTAGTTTACACTCGAAGTAGATTGGTCTCTCTAAGCGAGATCCCAATTTCGTCGGTCATCCGACGTGACGTCGAGAGTGACCGACTGAAAGGGAACTGTGTTTATATCACTCAATTCTGACTTTATAACTCGCAATTGTGTTTATATCACGCAATTATGACTATATCTTGCAATTGTGAGTTTATTTCTCAGAAGTGCAAGTTTATATATCGTAATTCTGACTTTATAACTCGCATCTGTGTTTGTCACGCAATTCTGACTTTATAACTCGCAATTGTGTTTATATCATGCTATTCTGACTTTATAACTCGCAACTGTGTTTATATCACGCAATTCTGACTATATTTTGCAATTGTGAGTTTATTTCTCAAAATTGCAAGTTTATATATCGCAATTCTGACTTTATAACTCGCAATTGCGAGGAAAAAAAGTCAGATTTGTGAGATGTAAACTCGCAATTGTGAGGAAAAAAAGTCAGATTTGTGAGATAAAAAGTCGCAATTACCTTTTTTATTTTTTATTCAGTGGTGCAAATGGGCTTCCATAGTTATGACCCTGAACATGGATGAAGGAAAAAAGCATCAAAAACAGAGAAGTAAGAGAAGATGTTTATAGGAAAGATGGGAAGAAGAATTATCATAAACAGAAACTGAATTAACCCCAAACCTTCAGCACAAACCACGCGGAGCTAAAGAGTAAACAGCTTAGAGTGAGAACATGTACATTTTAAAGCCCTTGAGAAGAGAAACGCTGCGTTTACCTCAGTTCGGCCCATATTTACTGTGTTTATAAACCTTCAGAAGAGCCTGAACATAGTTAACCTCTCACCCAAACAAATCTCAGTCTTATCTGAATCATTGCTGTGCATGTTGCTTTAAACAGCTAAAAAATAACCGTTAAAATGCTTATCGGGCACACTTCAGAGTGTATATTATTTGCTGTATTTAATGATAGTACGCTCACATCAGATGTTACTTAATAAGCTAGTTCAGAATAAGCTAGTTCCTACATGTGTGTTTGAATAGTCCCAGCGGCTGCTTCCAATTAAAATTTTAACACAGATCACTAGATCCCACTAAGAATAAACTGTGCCTGCTGATGGCATTTTATTAATAATATAATAATTATAGCAGTTTGCACAGGCAGGTGGTTATTTTTTACAGTTTACATAACTTTAAAGCTGCACACATCAAGACTGATTATATTGGACTGTGGGTTATATGTGAATAAGCAGAAGGAATTTAATTAAAATTTTTATTTTAACAATTGTTTTCAGAAAAACAAATCAGTTTTAATAATTATAACTTCACTTTTATGGGCCATTGTGCAATACTGCATTTATAATTTATTCAATTAAACAATCAAATGATTACAGTTTTAATGGTATTATTTTTCATTTAAATGAAATCAGTGTTATGGTCAGTTTTATGATGATTATGGCATTATAACAAACATGTACAATGACTTGAGCAAATATATTTAAGAAATTAATAGGAATAGATACTTCAAATGCATCATTTACTTATTTATTTGGTCTCACTTAATATAAGGTGTCTTTAACTAATATGCACTTGCATTATACAATTAAGCATTTGATTCAATGTAGTTATTGTGTATGTACTTGTACTCTTGCCAGATTCAGAATTTTGCAGCTCAGCAATGACAGCTGATGCAGCAACTGAATGTGTCAACTGTGGACGTCCATTAAAAACAGCGCTGAACTGACTGTGACTGTGAATGTATGGTGGGAACAGTGGACTGTAGGAGAGTCAGACACCAGCAGTGACAACTGTGTCACAATCTGCAAGCCAAGTGCACGTCATATGTGTCTTTAAGTTCAACTGAACTCAGATGCTGCAATTTAGATTATGTAGAACATATGTATTAACTGCTGGGAATTTACTGCTGTAAAACCAACGGGACTGCTGATTATATTAGGGCTGTTTTATGGATTTTAATTAAAACTATTATTATTATTAAATCTCTTTTTTTGCCCCTTTTTACCCATGAAAGAAAACCTGCTTGATAATTATGCACATCTGAATATAAGACTAAAAATATAAAACATTTTCACTTCTAGTCCCCGTTAACTATAAGATATCAATAAATTATTATATACAAAATAGTAGTTATCAAGATTGATGTGGTTTGGATTTGGTAAAATGTGCTTGGAAAGACAAGATGATCAGAACATCGACTAATAATTATGCATGCACTGTATATATGATTGTCTTATTCCTAGAACTGCTGTTAAATATTCTTTATGTGCTTTTAGATGCACGCTCATATGAATGACTGAAGATTCATTATGTAATTTTTATTTGGTTATTACTGATTTTACTAATTAAATTTTATTAGTTTATATGATTTTAATCATTTAAATTTGCTAAGTTCCACATTCAAACTTCTCTTTTTCTGTTTTTATTTTGTTTATGTGAACAACAGAGCAGAGCTGTGGAATATCTTACAGATGAGATGAATACACTGATTCAAACTGATTAATTTTTTCTTTCCTCTCATGTCACTGGGTTGAGTTGACTAAAGTCTGAAGTTGAACGCTCACGCTTGTCCAGTGGCGGTTGGGTGTGACACAGTAACACATGACTGAATCAGAAAGGCCCTCTACATGTGTCACGACGCTGGAATTTGCTCAGCCATTCTCCCGAAAGGAAGTCGGGTGGAGGAGAAGTGTGTGTCTTTAGGAAACACGCGGCTGATTTGACCAACTACAAGAATAAACTCGTTACATTAATCAGGAAGTCATGTCATTACCCTTCCTTTGTTTTCATTCCCCATTAGTTAGATTAATTTGCTCTCATAAAGGGAAGGCTTTAAGGTCAAAAAATTGCCCTGCCAGAGAACCGTGAGAAAGAAACATTCAAATCAGTTTTATATAATGGAATGATTGGATGAGCAATGTTTTAAATGAACAAATTCCTCAGCAACAGCCAGCAGTCACTGTAATGAACTATATTACTTTATGGAAGAATTTATGAATAACTGTTTATTATAGTAGTTGATGTACCTGTTCTATCTATCTATCTATCTATCTATCTATCTATCTATCTATCTATCTATCTATCTATCTATCTAT